TAGCAAGGCCCCAACCGCAGTTTGAGATTGGGCGCGGACAGCCTAACCTTACCTGGTCTACGGTCGGAATATGTGCGGTGGAAGCGTCCATGGTCAGGAACCAAGGTTGGGTGTGCCGTAACCGCGTCCGCTGGGAGATAGGGAGGGAGCGTCAACGAGGGGGTTCCGCAGATTAGATAACATGAGCCCGGGGTTTCCAGGTATATCTATCATCGCGTTTCGGACCCTTCCACGCCACTGTCCCGACAATCTCGTGTATTGCTACAAGTCATTTCTGGGTGCTGATGAAAGGGCCGACCACGAAGCTTGCATCTGGTTCGAGTGATATGACATGCCGTCGCGCCCGTGATGGGATTCATCTACCGTCTACTGAGCACGAAAAGTATCCGTGGACCGAGTTGCAAAAGCAAATAATCCACACTCAATATTGTTGTGACTGAATCCTAAACTGGGGGAAGAATGTCCACGAAACGGGCCTATTGCATTGCGGCGTTTGACTCTCCTAGGACTGGAGAACATTCACTAAATCGCACACACCGTCCTCTTTGCGATGTATCGCGAGTTCCTTTGTGGACAATGACAAGCTCCCTTCGCGTTACTCTTTCAAGGGCCGATTGTACCACTTCAGATTGGCTGCAAGTGACTGTTCCCCACTTTTTCAGCCACCTGCGCACCAGGTTCGACGAGTATACCGTGTTTTAGGTGAGCAGTGGACCAGAGCGCGAAACAGTAGCAATATAATCGTGGTGTGAATTCCTCTGCGTACCCCCCTCCCTCCACACACACAGTGAAACCGCGGGGGTGTGCGTACAGCACATACTTCCCACGAGAGATCGAGGAATACGCCATCGGCATGATAATGTACGGAACGACTCCTCCCGCGATCGACTCGTGCCTGGCTTCTGAGCCTGCGCGGAAACAGCTTCGACCGGATCTTGTGCCTGATGGTGCTTTTCCACAACAACTGGACGATGCGAACCTGCACTCTCTTCTCACTTTCTACCGCCTGCAACCTTGGGTGCCAGGTACGCATGTCCTCGGTAACCCTCCGGCCCCTCCTTCCTTGCTACTCTTGTTAGAGGCAGTTACCAGTAGAAACTTTTGAGACATAGTCTAGTCTAAGAACCTTGTGTCAAAGTTCGAACGCTGCAAGCAAGTCTGTTGGCCCGAAACACAGTAGTATGAAACCCAGTGTGAATGCACAGCAGTTGGCCACTGCACCGGGCTGGCTGGCCGCAGGAACTGGCCATGCCATTCGGATCACAGGAGACAAGCGACAGCCATTGCTGTTGCTAGAACGTAGAGGTCTGTTTCATGGACATCCGTCTGTCGTTCAATAGCCCAATCCGTTGCAATGGGTATTCGGCACCGACAGCTCCCTGGTGACTTCTTCCTTGAAGAGCGCCACCTGGGAGGATCACTTTTGGCGTCCCTTCCATGCCAGCGTCGACCCGTTGTCCGTGTTGGGCGAAAATGCTCCTGGAGCTATCTCTTCAGTTCTGATGCCAGCAGATGAGCCTACCGTTTACTCCTCTGCTATCGCGAATATCCTTGCCAAACGTGACAGATGACTGTACAGTCGATGGGCTACAGCCATAGTCTAGTCCATTAGACCCTCCCACCTGCTGTAGCTGGATGGCCACCAGCCCAATTGATAGATGAAGGCTTATCCGATGACCTACTCGATCAACGGCTGATCGATTACTCTGATGGATTAGACCTACAGTAGTAGTCCTTATCGCTCAAAGGTACAATGTTCGGCAACGAGTAATTTGTGCCGTCCCAACGAGCGGTCGTATTCATCGTGCAGCGAACCCTAAACAAATGTGCACAAGCATGTGCAAGCACTCTGCAAACAATCACGATTTCGAGAAGCCGTTGCTCGTAACACAAGAAAACAGATGTTCCCCCTGCTGCGGCATGTTCACAAGCAGTTCACCTCGCCTACATGGCAGTAGTGTGTGTCCGTGCTGTCAACGCGGCTGTGCTCCTGCTGCCTGAAACGCACATACGAAGTACACTGCAGTCTATGGATTTTTCACAGTGACGTGTCCCAAGGTGTGCCCCTCATGCTTCGAAACCGACGGGCGAGCCAGCATTTTCTCCCTCAGTCAGATCCAGCATTCATTCTGGAACGACTCACCAGCGACATACTTCTGTTGGGGTTATCTCGGGGCAAGTGGAGCGGACCTGCGTACGTCTCAATTTCCTTCGAAAGGGAGCGCGTGGGGGTACCAAGGATACAGACACGCGCACTTGGTGGTTTGATCACATTGACACGATGGCTGCCACCCTCCCCATGGTTACTTACCGCTGTCGCCTGCAGCTACCCGAGGGATCACTATCTGCTGAGCGAGCCTTAGTGAACAAGATATTTCAAGAGGGGTGCTCTGGTCTGCGCGTGTACTTCTGCCAAATCATCGGCTGTGGAAAGGTAGCTTATGCAGTAATGTTGCATCAAGCTACAGAATACGTACCTCTGGACCTCTGGATTTCATCGGACTTGCCGTACCGCGGGGGGGGGGGGGGGGGGGGGGG